GGAGGAGTGCCCCCCACCCAGGCGGGGAGAGGCCTGTATGACAGGGGAGGCGAGGCCCAGCCCAAGCCCAAAATAGCACGGGATGGCAGGATGATGGAGGCAGTGCCAGGCGGCGGCAGGGTGGGTAATTGATTGCCCTGTGCCGGCCATGAATAAAACATCGGCCTCTGCTCCATCTGGGTTCATTATTTGCTGGGGGGACAGGCCTCGTTTATTAGGGTTGCCTCTGCTTGCTTTCTCCTCCTCCGGACGAAGAAGACCCTGCCCTTGCCCCTCCCTCCTCCCTCTCCTGACTTGGCTCCCCAGTGCCCAGAGGACAAACTGAGGCTCTGGGCAAGATGACCTGTCCGTGTCCTGTCCCATCCTGTCGGCAGCCCTGACTTTCATACCTCCCTGCCTTTGCCTGTGCTATTCCAGCGCCTGGAACCCTCTCTCTCTTTCTTCCCTGAGGAAATCCTGCACTCACCCCACAGCCCAGTGAAGAAGCTCTTTCAGGAGGCTTTGCCTGTCCTCAACACCACCCTGGGGGACACAGGGCCCTACCCACACTGAGTGTGGTTAGTGCCATTCCACCCCTGCAACAGCTGACCGCTGGCCTGGGGGCCCTGTTCTGCACTCCCCAAAACTGCTCACTCTCAAAAGTGCAAACCCCATTCAATCTACCTGGAGGTGCCATTTTTCACCCATCAGGTTGTCAAGGACCCCAGAGTGGCATGGGCAGTAACCCCAGACCCATTGATGACTTTGGCTCACAGATAGCCAGGTCCCTGAGCAAGGGTGCTGACTGCAGCCTGTCTGCACAACTGGGACGCCACCATGGTGCATAACACGCTGGGACATCCACGCTGTCAAAGGTGACAGAGCCAGGAAAAAGGAGGCATCAGCTCCACTGTCCCAACATGAGACACTTCACCAATGCATCAGGTTTTCGAAACCCTGGGTGCAGAGCAATACCCACACAGGCTACGTTTTCTGTTCAAAATAAACACAAAAAAGGACCCAGTGACAGAGGCTCGCACATGTAATCCCAGCATTACAAGAGGCCAAGGGAGGATGATCGATTGAGCCCAGGAGCTCTAGACCAGCATGGGTAATAGAGGAAGACCCCATCTCTACAAAAAAAAAAATTTTTTTAATTAGCTGTGAGTGGTGGCTCATACCTGTAGTCCTACCAATTTAGGAGGCTGAGTCGGGAGGATCCCTTGAGCCCAGGAGTTTGAGGCTGCAGTGAGCTGTGATGGCACCACGGCACTCCAGCCTGGGCAACAAAGTGAGACTCTGTCTCAAGAAAACCAAAACTGAAAAACAACCAAACAAAAAAAGAACCGCAAAAAAGATGTCATAGCAATGCTGTGTGTACGGGAGCCTCCAGAGGACACACAAGCAATCCAGCACTGACCTCTGGAGAGAACTGAGAGGCTGGGGGCGTGGCGGGGAGGGACATTCACTCCATGCCTGAATGACTGTGAACATGGGGCCGTGCACAGTGCCCATGGAAATGAAAATAAAACCTGCCAGCCTGCTGGCCGGGGACTTGCAGTAAAGCACAGACACCGTGGACGTGATTGTTGCTGGTGGAGATTGCAGCTTCTGGATGCGTCGGTGGCGCTGTTCCGGTAGCTGAGTGGAGATGCCGGCAGGATCCGCATGCAGCACGGGCCCGGGGGCCTGTAGCCTCGACAGCCGTCCACCTGGAGGCACTGATGGCACGGGAAGCCGTCCGGGAGGGCTCTGTCCCCTTCCACAGCGTGGATGTCTCCACGCGTTATGCACCCTGCCCCATGGTGGCGTCCCGGTTGTGCAGACGGGCTGCAGTCCGTACCCTTGCTCAGGGACCCAGCTATCTGTGAGCCGGAAGGTGGCCGGTGGGCGGGAGGTGGAGGAGAACCCTCAGGCGTGTTTCACTGCATGACAGATGTCCCCGAATCTGCCCAGATGCTGGCGGAGGCTCTGGCCTCTTCTCGCTGCCTCTGTGTTTCTGAAAATGCATCGCTGATGGAGTGAAGGGACTCACCCTCAGGACTGCCCCACCAGGCTGGGCACCCAGCATTACCCCATTCCAGCCCTGGGCATGTGTGTGTGTGTCTGGGCGTATCTGTGTTAGCACATCTGTGTGTGTCTCTGTACCTATGCAGGTATAGATATGTATGTCTCTATTAACTGTATTTGTGTGTCCATGTATGTGTGTGTGTGTCTGTGCAGATGTGCCTGTATGTGTGTGCATGTGTGTCTGTGTGTACTTATGTGTGATTGTGTCCTTGTGTCTGTATGTGATCATGTGTGTCATGTATGCACACGTGTCTGTGTCTGTGTACCCATGTGTGACTGTATGTGTCCCTGTGTGTCTGTGCTGTGCATGCCCCGGGTGTCTGTGTGCATGTGTATGTATCTGTGTGTGGCTGTGGCTGTGTCCCTGTGCACCCTGTGTAGCTGGGTCCATGTCCAGCTGTGTAAGAGGCCCTCGCAGGGGAGGCTGGGCTCTCCCATGGGCCCTGATGAAAGTCAAGTCCGTAAAACAAACCTTCTGAGCTCCAAACCCCTGGTCCTAGGAACAAGCTGGACATGGGAGTAAGTCAGGCCAGAGTGACTATGAGGTCCCCGAGCCTGTGGGAACAAGAATGAAGACGAGTCCTGGGTTTGGGGTCCAGGCCCCCCCAGCCAGTACTGAGAGGGCAAGAGAGTGATCATGGCAGCCCTGTTGGCTAGGCCGATCCTCTGGCCGGGAGACTGCAGGCGGGGGGATCTTCCTCTTGGCCTCCAGGGCCACTAGGTGATGCTCAGTGCTAGGGGTAGGGATGGACCCTTCATGACACCCCGGAGCTGCCTGACTGGCCCTGGCTGTGCCTGCTACAGAAGTGATATCTAGTGACAGCATGAGATGTGACATCACTGAGGCCTCCTCGAAGCTGAGTCTGTTACGGTGGAAGAAGACCATCAGTCTTCCTCCTCAGGAAGCTCACAATTCCGGCAAGGAAAGAGGCCCACAGCCAGACGGCTGCGACCTTCGCAGTCAGGCCACGGCCACAGGTGCGTCAGGCAGGATCCGGCCAGGAAGTGGAAGCCCTCAGCTCTCTCCAACAGAGAGAACTGCGTCTAGGGAACTGGTCACACCGTGATGAAGGCTCTCAGACCTAAACAGGCGATGGGGAGGAATCCCAGACTGGAGTCAGCACGAAGCCGCCATCCCAGTCTGGAGGCAGGGAGGAAGGCAGTGGGGTCACCAGTCCCAGGGGCTGTGTTCATGCAAAGGGAGAGCTGGAGCCTCTCCAGGGGTGTCTGGAGCCATGGGGGTGATGTGGCTGCTGCCAAGGAGGCCATCCAAGGAGAGATGTAAGGAGAGACGTGCCCCTTCCCCCACCACCGCCAAACGCAGAAGCCTGAGAGCAAAGGATGCTGGGAAGTGACCCGAGGGGTCAGAGCAGGGGCCCCACCTGGCAGGCTCAGACGGGGGAGCACAGCTAGGCCCGCGCATCCTAGCAGGGGCCTGGTCTACGTCAGGTGCTCAAATGCTGACGTCGCACAGTGAATGGATGCAGGGCAGGACATCAGCCAGGGGGCTGGGGCCCCAGGTGGGAAAAAGGAAGAGATGGACACTGGGTGCATCCGAGCCGAGACCTCAGGGGCCCTGAATGCCCGCTTGGGTTTGGCTGAAAACCTGAGGGCTGGCATGTCCCCAAACATTCTCTGTCTTACCATCAAGGCCCCTGACTGCTCTTGTTTCTGTCCTGAGCTAGGCAGCCCAGTGTTCATTTCCCTCATTCTCCAGACAAGGAAACAGGCGCAGAGGTGTGGAGGACCTTGACCAAGTGACAAAGTGACCTTCCCGAGACTTTAGTGAGGGGCAGCACAGCCCAGCAAGCAGTGGTGGACGCAAGGCCCATCCACCCCTGGCTTCCCAGAGGTGGAGAGATTGCTGCAAACTGCCAGCGATGGGTGACAACCAGGAGTACCTTGTCACGACCGTTCGGTGACCTTTCAGTCCTGCCTTGTTGGGTGGCAACCTGGCTTCAATCGCCAATGTTTTTCTCCAGGCAGAAGATAAGCAGAAACCTGGCCCAGTGCAGTGGCTCATGCCTGTAATCCCAGCACTTTGGGAGGCCGAGGCGGGCAGATCATGAGGACGGAGATCGAGATCATCCTGGTCAACATGGTGAAACCCCGTCTTTACTAAAAATACAAAAATTAGCTGGGCGTGGTGGCACGCGCCTGTGGTCACAGCTACTCGGGAGGCTGAGGCAGGAGAATGGCTTGAACCCAGGAGGCAGAGGTTGCAATGAGCCGAGATCGTGCCACTGCACTCCAGCCTGGGCAACAAGAATGAAATTCTGTCTCAAAAAAAAAAAAAGAAAAAAAAAGAAGCAGAAACCTGTGATGACACAGGTGCCATCTGTGCACTGTCCACATCCTCTTGCCAGGGCCACACGCCCAGGTCCTCACAGGACTCAAGCGAGAGGGTGGAGGAAGAGAGGCAAGTGGGGAGGAATTGCAGGCCAAAGGGGTGGACGCTCCTGACTCCAGGTCTCAATTCCTTAAGAAAGGCTAGAAATCGGGACTTTTTATGGAAACAAATCTCAGATTTGAAAATGCTGGCCCCTAGTTGGCATGTTTAAAGTAGGTAGAACAAATCCATGGAAGCCAGGCTGAGTGTCTGCATAGGGGCCAGGCCTGTGAGCTCTGCCAGCTCTGAAGCAACTTTCTCGAGTGCCAAGCACACGCCGACCACAGGGCCTTTGCACTGCTGCTTCCCGCCCGGAAAGCTCTTCCTGCTGGCATCTCGTGGCTCACTCCCACACTGTCTTCAGGCATCTGCTCAAATGTTGTCTCCTCCAAGAGGCCTTTCCTGACCTTTTCCTTCCCATTTTGTGGGTTTATTTTTCTTCCCAGTGTTCACTTCCACCTGACATCTCAGTGTCATCCAGCTCCCAATGAGACCATCAGCTCTGTCATGAGGGCAGGATCCCTGGCTTAGGTTTCCCTGGATGCACAGGGCCTGCCCAGCCCACAGCAGACACTCAGTCGACATTTAATGAATCTGTGGTTTAGCACTTCAGGACCCCTGGGGCACGGCCACGGGGACACAGGGCGCCCAGGACCACACGCCTCACAGACATGATGTCTGAAAGAGGGACCAGCTGAGCGGGTTTCCACCCCTTCCCACCCCACAGGCTTGCTGAGAACTTTGGGATGGCCCAACTCCACTGGCGGCCTCAATTTCCCCACATGTGCAATGAGGGGGTGATACATGCCACCATCTCAGGGGCACATGTGGGGTCCCAAGGTGGCCATCATTGCCAGCTGCCTCAGCCAAGCAGAGGGACAGATGGATTGATCAGCTCCATATTGATTGCGTGGTCACAGATGCTCTGGAGGGGGCAGGAGGGGTGGGAAGCGGAGCGGAGCCAGGGGCCCTGGAGGAATGAAGAGAAAATGCCAACCCTCATCAATGCCTGGGGCTGGCCAGTGGGAGGGGCGTGATAGTCCATCTGAGGGTTTCTTTCCCTGTCACCTATGGGTTCAGAGGCTCAGGTGAGCTTCAGGGGAGCCAGGCAGGGGCGAGTTGTGAACACGGCAAAGAGCCCTCCCCAGCGCACCCTGAGGAGGCCATCCAGAGTCTCTCTGCCTCTAAGCCTTGGAGCAGCTGAGGCCGGGGGGGCTGAGGCAGAGGAGCTCGGGGTGGGGGGTGGGGGAAGGTCCCTGCCCACCCAAGCCACGTTTCTTAGATGCCGCTCAACAGGGCTGGAAGTGTATACCAGGCTAGCATTCTGCTGCAGAGCCCACTTGAGACTTGTTTTCACACAAAAGCCACCACGTCCTGCCCTGGATCTGCCAGGAAAGCCAGTGCCCAGGAGATGAGAGACTGATAATGTGGCCAGCTCTCTCTGGGAGCGATAGCCCTGTGTGGGACATGCAGCTACAGCACAAAGACCTAGGACCTAGGGGTCTTGGGAAGGGAGAGGGCTGAGGCTAAATCCCAGCTCCACTCCAACTTATGGGGCAAAACTCTTTTTCGCTGAGGACCTCGATTTCCCCATCTGGAACCTGTCCCTCAGAGTCTTGGGGCTCCTGGGTTTTAGGGAGGGAGGGGCAGAAAACAACCTTGGAGTGGACTGATGGGCAGGTCGGGAGCCCAGAGGGAAGGCGCAGACAGGACCAGACCATGAGGACTGTTGTCGAGGCCTGGCCGGCAGAAAACAAGCCCTTAAACACAGGGCCTGCAGCTCAGCCATTACGCTGCTGGGTCCCTACCCCACAGCATCGGAACAGGTGCTCAGACAAAGCTTGCACATGAATGCAGATAACAACGCTGTTCACAGCAGCCAAGAGGTGGAGACAGCCCTGAGCCCATCCACAGATGAATGAACACACAAGTGTGTCCGCACAATGAACCCGCTCATCCACGACATGAAGAGCCTGGCGTTCCGGCACTGGTACAGCATGCAAAGCCCTGGAGGACACAGAAGGACGAATGCTGAGGGTTCCATTCACATGAAACGCCCAGAACTGGCGAATCCATACAGACCGAAGCAGATCAGAGGCTCCCGCGGGCTCAGGGGAGGGCACGTGGGGAGTGACCGCTCTGCGTTGTCACGGGGTCTTCTTCTGGAGCGATGGAAATGTTCTGAAACTAGAGTGGCGATCATTGCACAACATTGTGAGTGGAATGCCACTTAATTTGTATGCTTTAAGGAGGGCAATTTTACCTCAATACAAAGGGGGGAGCCCTCCACCGGGGACACAGCAGCCCACTCAGAGACATGGCAGAGAGGCGGGGCTCTGGATCTGGCCCTGCGGGGGCAATGAGGACACCCACGCGGACACCCACGCTGCCGGGGCTGCTGTGAGAGGAGCGCAGAGCACGGGGCCCAGGGCAAGGGAAACATTTGCTGCTTTTGTCACCCTCCCCAGACCATGCTTCTGCAGGGTGGCCCAGGCGGCTCAGGCTGGCTGTCCTGTCGGGGAGGCGCCGGGCTGACCCAGGCCATACCTGGGGCCGCAGCCTTCACAGTGGCCAGGAGCCGAGCTGGAGTGGGAAGTCACGTAGGTGGGGTCGGCCCTCTGCCCGTGGCTAGCTCATGTCTCCGCCCTGGGCCTCACCCATCTCTGAGAAGGGGATAGAGACCAGTCCTCTAGGAAGCTTCAGTGCCAGAACCTTTCTGCATCTGGAGTCCCCAGGGAAGACGATCCATCAATCAATCTGTTGATCCACCCACAGGACCAATAGAGACAGGATGCCACATTGGGTAAGCAGCGGTGAGCAAGTTGACAGACGGGTTCAAATCCCAGCTCCTCCACCTCCCAGCCCTCCACCCTTAGGCCCCAGCTGCCCTAGCCAGGCTTTCTGGGCCTCAGTTTACCCACCTGTAAAATTCAGGTAATAATCACCACCACCCCATAGGGTACTGTGAAGATGGAACGAGTCTGTGGGAACAGCACCTGGCTTGTGGTGTGGGCTCTGGAGGTGGGGACCGATGTCCTGTCTAATTCTCACTGTTGAGAATGAGAACAAACTGTTGTCCAGCTAAGGGGAGAAAGGAGCCCTGCCCAGAACCAGCCAGAATGAGAAGAGACTGCATGGGCTTATGCCACCAGCTCGCCCCTCCTAAGAAGCTGTGCTGAGCTATCCCCAGAGTGGACACTAGAGGAGAGGCCAGGAGAGGGGGGCTCGGGAGAGGACCGAGGAGGTGCCCCCCACTCACTTGCACACTCACAAACTCACACGCACTTAGACACACACACAGTTACACACTCACACACGCAGAGTCACACTCACAGAGACAGAATCACATGCAGAGTCACATACACAGTCACACACACTCACACCCTCACACAGACACACTCAGTCACACACTCAGAGAATCACACATAGTCACATACAGAGTCACACACACTCACACTCACTCACACACCCTCACACAGTTACACACACTGAGTCACACACACTCACAGTTACACACTCACACACAGTCACACTCACACAGAGACAGAATCACACAGCCACATACACACTCACACACACTCACAGTTACACACTCACTCCCTCACAGTTACACACAGTGTTACACACACACTCAGTCACACCCTCACACAGAGAGAATCACACAGTCACATACAGTCACACAGTTACACTCACACCTTCAAACGGAGTCACACACACTCAGTTACACACACATACTAACACCCTCACAGTCACACACTCAGTTACACACTCACACACACTCAGTCACAGACTCACAGAGACAGAATCACACAGAGAGTCACAGAGTCACACACACTCACAGTGACACACTCACACAGTCACACACTCACTTGCACCCGCAGAGGAAGAACGCTGAGTGGGTGGGGTGCACTGGCCACGCGCGGGGGCAGCCTCAACCCCAGCAGCCACACTTGATGAATTTTGCATCACCTTGGCTATGAATAGCTTCCTCTGCAGCGAAACAGACAGTTCAAAGGAAGGAAAAGGGCCCGAGGAGGGAGAAGGAGGGTGAGATGTATCCCAAATCCCTAACTCAGCTCAGGAGGACAGTGGGGCGAGGCAAGGAGGCAGAGGGTGGGCAGGGCCTCCCACTCCCACGGGGATGCATGCCTTTCCAGAGGCGGCATGTGAGGCTGCGAGGGGTCTCCCACAGGGCCCTGGCAGCCCTGTTGTGCTTCCAGGATGAGGCCAGAAGGACGCAGCAGGGACAAGAGGGTGTCCGGGAGCCTGGGCAGCACGTGGGCCACCTGCTTACGTGCTTCGAGGCCATTTCTTAGATGGGCACACTGAGGCCTGGGAAGATCACTGTCCCATGAGGGACCATGCACTGCATCCTCGGCCTGGAGAGGATGCTGATGGGCCGGGGCAGGGAGGCCGCAGGGAGCCAGGCCCAGCAGGCATGGGTGGGGGGCGCTCAGCGTGCATGGCTAGGCTGAAGGTGTCACGGGGACCTCTGCAGCCTCTGACTGGGGAACCTGGCTTCCAACCCCAGCTCTACCCCTTCCTGCCTGGGCAGCCCTGGGCAAGACACGTCACCTCTCTGTGCCTGTTTCCCTAGTAACTAACTCCTAATAATGCAAGCACCCCATTTACCAGGCGGTGGACAAGGTGCAGCCCCAGGATCCCTGCTGCTCACCAGCTGTGGAACTGTGCCTCCCAGCTCAGTTTTCCCATCTGCAGAATGGGCTGCTGCCGCTGTTCCCTGCCCCAACAATGAGGCGTAAAGCATTGAGAATGAGCCTTGCACAGTGTGGGGGCCACGTGAGCTTTATCAGCGCTGCCAGCTTGTTGGCCAGTAACACCCATAAACAGGGAGTCCCTGCTAGGCAGCCTCCACCTGCCACCAAGGGGACACCCCTAAAGATTCGAGCCATATGACTCGTCCTGCCAGGCCGCCAGCCCTGGCTGAGGCCCACGCAATGGGCACCCAGACCAGGGAGCTGAGTGAGGGATTCCAGGTGGGTGTGTGGGTGGACGCCGGGCAGTCAGTCACGTTAGCCTGGCTGTCCTCTCTGGCCAGGCTGGGGTGAGTGCGTCTCACCTCCAGGCCATCTTGTGTAAACTATGGGGTTGTCCCAGCTGCCCACTAGCTCTCCAGAGACCCAGTGCCAGCCCCACAGCCCGAGGCCCCAGCGTCGTGGTGCCAGTGGCTGCACTGGGCACCTGCCGCATGTGGGCTGTCTCCTAAGTACTTTGTATGCATTCGCTCCATTAATCTCCAAAGCCATCCCCTGGGGCAGGTGCTGTTAGCATCTCCACTTTACAGAGAGAGAAACAGAGGCCCAGGGAGCTAAAGGAACATGCACAGGACACGGGACCCCACCCACATCCCTCCGGCCTCCGTGGCACCCGGCATTTCTGATCCCGGCTCTTCTATTCCAGTGCTGGAACATCAGGGTGGGTCCTTTCCTCTCCCTGGCCTTGTTTTCCCTAGCAGTGAAGGGTCCCGGTGCACAGAATCTAATCCCTGGCCCCTCTACTTGCTGGCCTAGAAGGTGAGTCCTTCACCCTCTCTGTGCTTCTATTTCCTCCCCTGTAAAATGGGAATGGGAACAGCCCCTGCCTCCCAGAGCTCCTAGGGCAGTGCATGCGCCTAGTAAGTGTTCAGGAAGTGGCAGCCATGCTGTTAATATTGCTGCTGCTACTGCTGTGAAGTGAGCACTCGCTGAGACCCCTGACCAGAGGATGGGGGTGTCCAAGCATCCAGGGACCCAGAGAGGCCCAGGAGGTGGCCTGTGCCCAGGGCCTGAGGCAGCTGCAGGAACTCACAGCCTCTTGAAATGGGCAGAGCTGTGACCCTCCCTCTGTTCTTCCCCACAGCCTCCCACCTGCCACGGCATCTCTGCTCTTCCCTCTGGCCACATCAGAAGGGGCCACAAGGAAGCAAAGATTCAGAGAGTGAACTTTCTCACAGGGACCATCCCAAAAATGCCCACACTGGCATCCTGCAGCCCCATTCTCCCGGCAGGGCCTGGAGTCCAGAGGGTTTCCAGCACAGCAGCTAAGAGCCAGGACTCTTCAGAGTCCCAACCGCTATGACCCATTCCTGGCTTTGCCACTTACCTGCTGTGTGACCTTGGGCAGGTTGCTTTGCCTCTCTGTGCCCCAATTTCCCCATCTCCAAGATGGTAGGTGATAGCACCCCTAGAGGAGGTGGTTGTGAAGATTCAGGGCCATGACACAGACAAAGCAGTTAGCCTGGCACCCACTGGGCTTGATGTCCCGGCTCCTGAGGCTGCCAGCTGGTGAAGACGGCAGGACTGCTGGCATCGGACATTCCCTGGGCATTCCCTTTACTCTTTGTGTGAACTCAGGCAATCCACTTCACCTTCCTGTGCCTCAGTTTCCTCATCTGCAAAACAGGCCTAATAACACCTATCTGGGGACATGATGAGCATTCAGAGGAGATTAGCCCAGGAGAGCACCTGGCCAACAGTGCTGTTCTTGTGATTCTGATGAATCACAAGATGTCTGTGACCTGGGACATCAAGCCCAGTGGGTGTCACCCCCGCCATCCAGGAGACACCCACAGCATATGTGGCTTTCTCTGGGGCAGGCCCCAGCCTGGAAGACACTGGAGACTTCCTCTCCAGGTGACAAGGAGCAGCTGAAGGATGCGTCTCCCAGCAAGACTGACATGCGACAGACACGTCGAAATGGAAAGGAAGGTCGTGAGCCCTGGGTGGCCACGCCAGGGCAGAGCAGGCACCGAGGAACAAGTGGTTCCCGCAAAGTAGGTCTTGGCTCCGGGTCCCAGAATGTGTCCCCTGGAGACCCTCTTGCTGCTTGTGTTTTGTCAAGCTGCCTGATTACAGGCAGCTGCCACCACACCTGGCTCATTTTTGTATTTTTGGTAGAGACAGGGTTTCACCATGTTGGCCAGGCTGGTCTCGAACTTCTGACCTCAGGTGATCTGCCCACCTTGGCCTCCCAAAGTGCTGGGATTACACCCGGCCGACCTCTTCTGTCTGTTAAGCCAAGCCTTTCATTGGCTTCTAGCACCTTGGGTGTGCTCCTGTCTAACTGCGTTTGCCTCCTCCATCAGACTGGAGGCTCCTGGGGTGGAGATACCAAGTTAGATTTCTCACCCTGGTCCAAGCACTACCCAGCATAAGGCCTGACATATTGGGGCCAGGGGAGGGAGCGGTGCTCAGAACACGTTTATTGATAGAACTCAAGATCGCTTTCACTGCAACTAAATTGCAATATGGTGGAAAGTTATTTGCAGCAATTTCCATGAAGAAAGGAATCTATCTCTCCTCCCTAAAGTCATGTGATTGTCATGCCAGTAGAAGCTAGTTCTGAGACTAGGTGTCAAGGGGCCTTGTGGCTTCCACTCTTGTGCTAGGGACTCCTCTGCCACCAGTGACCCAGCCAGGACTAGCCCACTGGAGAGTGAGAGGCCCCCTACAGCACCAGGCCCAGATGTCCCAGCTGAGGCCACAGACTAAGTGACTGAGAGCAGCTGAGCCCAACAAAGAACTGTGAGCTAATGAAAACTGTAGTTTTGTACCCCTGAGTTTAGGGGATGTTTGTTAGGGCACGCTACCTAACTGATACACACCATAGCCCATTTCACAGGGAGACGATTGGGCTTTCAAGAGGGCAGAGCTCAGGGCCTCACCTCCATCAGGGGCTGAAGCAGTGAATTAAAAATGCATGCCCAGAGGAGAGTAGCTGTGACCACTTCTGCCAGCACTTTTGGTTGCATCATTAATAAAGACATATTGTTGCAGATAAAGCTCAGACCACAGGTACCTTCCAATTGCTCCTGACATTTTTGCACTGGCTGTTCATTGATCCAGCTGGCAGCCTGGCCCCCACCAGAAAGCGCAAAAGGGCCAGTGGGCATCAGCATCCTCCCCGAGACGGGGCCACAGGGAGAGGGGTTTCTCTTTTGCCCAGGAAGTCAGCCGTGCCCTGGATGGTGGCAGAGGGAAGGGAGCAGGGGAGAGGTCAGAGCTGGCTTGGCTTCCCCTGTGCACCCCGCAGCCCCAGCCACACCAGGCTCAGCATTTTCCACACATACCATGCCTCTGCCACTGCTGTTCTTTCTTCCGGGCACACCATTCGCTCTTTCCCTGCCAGACCATGTCCAACTCACACACAGCCCTCAAGGCCCCTCCACGTGAATTTCTTTGTTGTCCCCACTGCCTTTCCCCTCGTTCCAGAAAGAATCCTCCTCTTCTGTGAGGCTTCCCAGACCACTCAGCCCAAGACTGAAAGCACCCGCATTTCTCCCCATGAGCGTCCCTTGGCCATCATTGTGGCTGCTTGTTTCTTTGATGTCTGTTGGCTGTACCAGGCTGAGTTCGGTGAGGGCGGGCTGTGGGCACGGTGGCATCCACAGAGCAGAGTCCGCTCACCAAGGGGCTCTGTGGACACACAGGGGATGAGTGCATGAGTAAGTGAGTAAACGGCCGAACAAGCAAACGAACTCACTCGCCCTCCTGAGGCTCACAAGTAGGAGTGGAGGCAGAGGTCAGTGGACGAGGCCAGGCGCGGTGGCTCACGCCTGTAATCCCAGCACCTTGGGAGGCCGAGGCGGGTGGATCACGAGGTCAAGAGATCGAGACCAGCCAGGCGCGGTGGCTCACGCCTGTAATCCCAGCACCTTGGGAGGCCGAGGCGGGTGGATCACGAGGTCGAGAGATCGAGA